ATGTATATATTACGACGATTTTACGTCGAAAAAGGAGTTAGGTGAAAAACATTTAAAACATGTTTACCTAACAATTGTAGATGAAAAATTTTATCGCAAAATCGTCGTAAACTCGTCGTAATATTATTGTTGAATGTAAAACCGTCGTAAAAAGTCATCGTAAAAGCGTTGTAAAGCCCGAAATTTTCCTATAAATAGATCTTCATTCCTTCATTCAATCACAACACATCATCATTCAAACATAAGAGCATCTTCATCTTGGAGACCCATTGTAGGTCTCTTAAATTTTAGTATAGTGTTGTAAATCCTTATATATTGGGTTGTCCATTGCCGGAAACCCGAATTAAGAGTTATATTACTTTGAAAAAAAGAAGTAATAATATTATAAGGTTAATTTACTCTATTCACGTGGCTAGACGTGACACAAGAGACCATCTCCTTTATTGTCTAATCAATAAAAAGAGATAGTATTGTGAGTTTATTTTCAAGATGTCTATATACGAGCTAAGTATTTTGGTTCCAGGTTTGAGCCATTTATATTAGCTTCTCAAGTAGAACAGGTAACGTTTCTGCCATACCCTCGAGTTCGATCAACAGGAATTTCATGGTTAGCAGTAGTTAAAGTGGTTCCGAGGGGCAAGATTGTAGGGGTTGAGGATGTTCCACTTCAACAGGACACTTGCGTAGATCTGTCTGAACCAGATGTTGATGAGAAGATTTTCTTAATAGACCCTCGGAACAGGCAAGTTGAAGATCTTCCCGATGATACAGAAGAAGAAGGTGATGATGAGTTTGCTGAAACCGATGATGACGATTTGGCGGAAGAAGACGACGGTGATGGTGATGAAGTAATAGAGGAAGATGAATCTGATTGAGTTTCATGCATTGTATTTAGTGAATGTTTGTTATTATGTAATTTGTAACTTTGTTTGTTTGAATTTTTTAAAAACCCTATAATTCGATTTTACGACGGTTTTACGAGGGTTTTTCTAAACCCTAAACCCTAAGTCTAGGTTTTAAGCCCTGAATGAATAGGGTTTCAACATTAAGACGTCTTTACGACGAACCATCGTAATAGCGTCGTAAAGTTACGACGATTTTACGACGAGTACACTATTTCGTCGTAAAATCGTCGTAATGTTGAAATCCAAGAATTTGAATCTTTTATATCTTATTGGTTGTAAGGTATTTCACAAATGTTTTTGATTGGTTATCTTATTTTATATGAAATGCTATCAATCTGATCAAAATCAAAAATTTGAAAAAAACATACATATTTACAAGTTCATGCATGTTTTCGTAAATGTTAAGTGAAAGGTTATATATTAGATTACGGAATTTCAATTTTTACTATCTCATGTCATAAATCCATCATACATGCAAAGTTGTAAACCTTTTGTTATATGTTAGGATACAACAACCTTTGCATTGTTCTTTATGCAATATCCCATTTATAAGATTTAGGGTTTACTCATTTTTTTAAAAAATATCGTAAAACCGTCGTAATATAATCGTAAAGTTACGACGGTTTTACGACGATTAAACCCAAAACCGTCGTAACGTTTGCACCGGATAGGCTCTTGATCCGAGGTACGAGGTTATGAATGTTTAGACGTTACGACGGTTTTGGGTTTAATCATCGTAAAACCGTCGTAACGGTCAAATACTCCCATCACGACACGTGTCATGTCATGCAGTGGACCGACTGTTATACAACCGAATCGTCGTAAAACCGTCGTAATGTTACGACGATCACAAAATCTATATAAGGGACGCGAGATTTCCTCCTTCGTCGCTCGTTCCTCTCATCCCTCTCTCTCTCTAGAAATCTCTCTATCTCTCTAGAAATCTACCTCTCCCTTCTCTCCCTACACTCCAGCCAATTAATTTGTAAGTATTTTTGTTAAATTAATTTCATTACATATTATTTTAAATTTAGGTTCGGAATTTAGATTTAGGTTCGGAGTTTAGATTTAGGTTTCGGAATTTAGTTAGGCCCGGATTTTGGTAAATTTAAATAAATATTTGAAAAATTAGTAACTAATTTTTTAAAATTTTGTAGGTTCTGTCGATATGGCTCCTCGGGCTAAGAGATTTCACTACCGACAGCTCGTCGATTCTGACGGTACGGCCCCGTCTACCTCGGCGACCGGATCAGCCATCCCGGAGTCCTCGGGAACACAACGGACGGTTTCCCAACCGGTCGTTGTTCCACAGCCGGCACCGCCTCCACCACCACCAGCCGAACCAGCGGCTCCCGCACAGGCCGATCCTAAGGCTGATCCGATCCCGCCTGTACCGTATGCCCAGTTTACGGTACAAGATCTTCTGGCGCAACCCGGTCGTGAGACCATGAACAAACTCGACCCGGATCGAGCCCCAGGCATCTTTTGGTACGTAATTTTTTTCCTACAATATTTTTAAATTAATTAATATTTATTCTTATATATTTGATATTAATTTACTTTTTCTCTTTCCATTTGACTAGGTTTACGACCGACAATGCAGTCGGTCGTAACGTTGCATATATCATCAAGGGGTTTTTCGTACAACCCCATACCAGCTGGAAGAAGCTGGATCAGGCCACACTTGACACTTGGTTCAAGTGTTTTGCGGTAAGTAATTTACCATTTTGTTTAATTGTAATTTTAAATTTTAACTTTTTACAATAATTACTAACTTCTTTTTTTTCCTAGCAAAACTGGCATTGGGAAACATCCGCACACGGACGTGTGGAGACGGCTTTTAAGGAGAAGGATAAATTCCGCCTCAACAACACCGTTTCCGACTGGAAACGGAAGTGGGAGGTTGACGGCGACAAGGCCAAGCCGGCGCCTATGGCCAATACCGTCTGGCGGGGCCTTGTCCAGTACTGGTTGGATCCGCACAACCAGCTACGGCCGCCACGTGTTCCGGATCTAGGTAAGTAGTTAATTTCAATAATATTAACATTATTTTTTTTTCTTATAATAAATTCTAATGAAAATATTTTTCAGGAACGCTACTGACGATGCGGGAAATCGGAAGAACGTCCCGCACACTTCCGGCCAGATTCCTTTTGCCGGAAGACGGCTTATGATGGTAAATAAATTTAAATTACTATTTTTTTTGTTTTCAAATAATTAACTCTTATTTCTCGATACTAAATAATTTTTTTCATTTTGATTTTGTAGGTCGAAGATAACGGAGGAGAACTTCCTCCGATGACGAAGGTTTTCGCCGAGACGCATAAGAAGCGTAACGGCGAATTCACGGATCCTCGGACGGAGGAGATCTACAACGCCGCCTGTGCGGCGATCGAGGAGCGACAGACGCAGCTGACTCAGCAGGCGCGTCAAACGTCTCCCAGAGGTAGCTCGGTCCAATCGACCCCGGCGCTGACGGTGGCGGAGATGGACCAGATCTTCGAAGAGGTAAATTTAATTACTATATTTAATTAATATAACTTTAGTTTTAAATTAAATTTCTAACCATAATGTTTTTAAAATATTTGTAGGTTGCCCCAAAGAAAAAGGGGCGGGTATTAGGGATGGAGTCCATCCGTGATACCCCGAGAGCTACGGCGACTGGTCACGTCCGGGTCCCGGATCCGGTTATCCGCCAGAAGATCGACCAGATGCGGACCCGGTACGAGACGAGGATCGAGCAGCTCTACGGTCTCTTCGAGATCATGGGAGCCGACAACCCGGTACTCATGGCGTAGTTGGACAAGCTGCAGGCTGATGGGGTTGTCGGATCGTCTGCCGCCGGGTTATCCACTAGGACGCAACCGCCGGTGCAGACGGACGAGGAGATATTCCGATCTCTCGGGGTTGAGCCTCCTAGAGCCGGAGATCAGGCACCGGCGGAAGCATCAAACCGAAGACCCGGCAAGGAACACGTCCAGGACGATGGGGAGGAGGCCGGTGACGGGATCGACGGGATCGACGATTTAGATTTAGATTTAGATCTGTAGGGTTTTTATGTAAATTACAATTAATTTTAATTTCAAATTTTAATAAATTTTAAATTGTAAATTTTGTTTTTTAATTTAAATTTTAATTTGAATTAATTTTGTTTTTTAATTTTCAATTATATTAAACGTCGTATAATCGTCGTAATAGCTTTACTAAAACCATCGTACATTCGTCGTAAATATTACGACGAATTTACGACTAAAACGTATGACGACAAATACGAAGATTATACGTCTGTGCTTTACGACGATTTTACGACGAAATGATTAAATACTTTACGATTGATTTACGACGATTTATGCGTCGTACATTTTACGATGATCTTACGTCGACCATTTACGACCACTTAACGACGGTTCAGGCGAAGACCAAGTCGACGCAATTCGATGTAAAATCGTCGTAAACTGTACGACGCATTTACGACGATTTTGTTTCTCTCGATGTTACGACGAAACGAATCCGTCGTATATTATATGACGATTTTACGACGATTTGTCTATTACGACGATGACTTTACGACGATTTTGAAATCGTCGGTAGTCCGTAGTAATAGCCCTATTACGACGAAATAACGATTATTTTGGCCGTTGTAAAATGATGTTTTTCTTGTAGTGTAATTGAAAAAAATACAATAGACGAAATTACCATAAATCGGTCAAAACATATAATTGGAAAAACTTTTTTGTTTTTGACTTCCACTTGACTGAACGGATGAATCTGAAATATTATAAATTTGGAGATAAACAATAAATAAGTGATTATCCATTAATCCAACAAAAATAATTTGACTGAGGACAAAGAACAGTAAGTCAGTAACTGACTTTAACACGGAGGAAACGAGTGTAAAAATGGGCCTACGTTTACCACTAACTCAGCCCACATTTTTCTCATAGATTTTCCCAATTTATTAAGGAAAAAGTTTTCAACTTTAAGGAAATCAATTAATCATAATATTAAAAAATGAGTCATTCACACATGTCTCTATCCTCCACAGCCAAATTCACCAATTTTTCCCTTTGTCCAGATTCCGACAATTCCACTCTCTGGATCCACCACTATATAAGAAGACGATAGAGCGAAGCTTGAGATGAAGAGTAGAGTCATTCTCAGCCATAGAGAGAGAAGAGATAACATTAACAACAACAGAGACAGCTTCTGTAATTATACACAGATTGATACCATGGAGAGAAAGCCCTTTGAGGTTGAGACGACGACAACGACGACGGCGACGGAGGATCACAAACCCTACTCCGCCGTCGATGGTGGTGGTTCTGATTTGACATCGACGGTCGATTCATTTGACGACGAGCAGAAAAAGCTCGTTTATAGAGGCTGGAAAGTCATGCCTTTTATCATTGGTAACGCTTTTTTTTCTCTTCAGACATACTCTGTTTTTTTTTTTTTTTTTTTTTTTGTGTCTGCTTTGTCGGATTTTAGACAGAAATATAACATTTTGTCCGTGATATATTTAATTTGGTTTATTTATCTTCTATTTCACTTGACTGCGTCGAAAATCTCGAATTGGAGTTCCTCCTTTAAGATTTCAGAAATGAAATTGGTTTTTTAAAAGACAAGATTTTTGTTTAAAACCCAAATCAAAACCAGAGGAGATTTTTGCACAATTATTATATAGTTTCTCTAGATAATCTAACCAGATCTATCTATGCAAATATATTTTACAAATTTTTGTGAAAAGAGACTTTGATTCATGCAGTTAAGTTTCTGAGAGTGGATAAGATTTTTGAGAATTTTGTACGCTTAAAGACAAAGTTAGTTTCCGGGAGTTACAGCAGTTAGATGTCTAAAAAGTTTCATGTGAACCCTTTAAAAGTCCAATCTTCGATTTGTGTGTTTCCGTTTCAAAAGTTGAGAGTTAAATGTAAAAGTTTCTTACTTTAATGAGAAACCCATTTTTTGGTTTGACTAATCAGTTGACAAAAAAATCATTTGTGTCTTCACAGGTAATGAAACATTTGAGAAGATTGGCATCATTGGGACATTATCAAACCTTCTTGTCTACCTAACTCAAGTATTCAACCTCAAGAGTGTTACAGCTGCAACAATCATCAATGCCTTTAGTGGCACAATCAATTTCGGGACTTTCGTCGCTGCTTTTCTCTGCGACACTTACTTTGGTCGCTACAAGACTCTCAGTGTTGCTGTCATCGCTTGTTTCCTGGTACTAATTGCCTCATCTTGTTTTCGTTTTCTTGCCAAGATTCGTCTTTTTTGTTTCTAAACATTTTTTTCATCTCTGTAGGGATCGTTTGTGATACTAATGACTGCTGCAGTTCCTGGATTGCACCCGACTCCTTGTGGAACAAAAAGCTTTTGCCAAGGCCCAAGTGGTGGCCAGATTGCGTTTCTGCTGATGGGTTTAGCGCTTCTTGTGGTAGGAGCAGGTGGGATCAGGCCGTGTAACTTGGCGTTTGGAGCTGATCAGTTTAACCCCAAATCCGAATCAGGAAAGAAAGGAATCAACAGTTTCTTCAACTGGTATTTCTTCACTTTCACGTTCGCTCAGATCATCTCGCTCACGCTGGTTGTGTATATCCAGTCGAATGTGAGCTGGACGATCGGTTTGAGTATACCGGTTGGTCTAATGTTCTTGGCGTGTGTGATTTTCTTCGCTGGTGATAAGTTGTATGTAAAAGTGAAAGCCTCTGGTAGTCCTTTGGCTAGTATCGGTCATGTTATAGTAGCAGCGATCAAGAAACGAGGATTGAAGCCAGTTAAGCAGCCTTGGCTCGAACTTTACAACCACATTCCTATTAACTATCCAAATACTACACTAAAATACACTGACCAGTTTAGGTAAACGATCAAAGTCTGTTTCTTTGTTCCCCTTTCTTTACATTTTTTCTTGGTTCTTGTTTTGCTGAAGAGATGTTGGTTTTGTTTATGTTGCCAGATTTCTAGACAAAGCAGCGATTATGACCCCTGAGGACAAGTTGAAATCCGATGGAGCTGCTTCTGATCCATGGAAGCTATGTACGATGCAGCACGTGGAAGAAGTGAAATGCATCGTGAGAGTGATTCCGATCTGGTTTGCTTGCGCCATTTACTACCTAGCAATAAGTATGCAAATGACTTATCCGGTCTTCCAAGCCTTCCAGGGTGACCGGAGATTAGGTTCCGGCGGCTTCAAGATTCCCGCAGCCACCTATGTAGTGTTCTTGATGACCGGTATGACTGTTTTCATCATCTTCTACGACCGTGTCCTTGTCCCGTCACTGAGAAGAGTGACCAGGCTAGACACTGGTATAACACTCTTACAGAGAATCGGAGCTGGCATTTTCTTTGCTGTGTTGAGTTTGTTGGTCTCGGCGTTCATAGAGGAACGTAGAAGAAACTTTGCGCTGACGAGACCTACACTAGGGATTGAGCCACGAAGGGGAGAGATCTCGTCCATGTCGGCTATGTGGCTGATTCCGCAGCTCTTGCTTGCAGGGGTAGCAGAAGCTTTTGCAGCTATTGGACAAATGGAGTTTTACTACAAGCAGTTTCCTGAAAACATGAAGAGCTTTGCTGGTTCCATCTTCTATGTTGGGGCAGGTGTTTCGAGCTACCTTTCTAGCTTCTTGATCTCGACTGTTCATCGAATGACTGAACATTCGCCTTCCGGGAATTGGTTAGCTGAGGATCTGAACAAAGGGAAATTGGATTACTTTTATTTCATGCTCACTGGACTCATGGTCGTTAACATGGTTTACTTCTTGTTAGTGGCTAAATGGTATAGATACAAAGGAAGTAATGATGAAGACAAACCTGTGATTGAGACCAATGAAGAAGAGAAGAAGCAGCATCAGCAACTAGACAAGAACTCTGTCTGATCTCGAAACTTTATTGTATTTTGGTCTTCTTCTTCAGTCTCTCTCCTCTTTGTTGTTGTACTCTTATAGATGAGATGAATGAAGAGAATCACTTCATCTTTTTTATACATGTATTGTTGTAAAATAAGTTTTTTTTTGCTAATATCATACTGCGTACAACGATTCTGTATCGTCTTTCAACACAACAGAGCAGAACAAACCACTAAAAGAGGAGACCAAGAGAAGACAGTGAAAAAATGTTTCTTTGTTATGTTAAAAGGTTGGAATTTTGGCTTTGAGTTATTGTAAAAACAAGTTTGGAAAATTAAATGAAAAATGGAAAGAAAGAAAACGTATAATTGCTAGAATAAGAATATGTAAGAAATGAGAAAATATTTTTGTTTTTTTTTGGTCGGAACAAATTCGAGTATTTTTACTTATAAAATTTTGAAATTTTAAGAATAGTAAAATGAAGCAATAAAATAAAAATAAAAATTTGATTTTTTATTCATAAACGTAACGTGGAGACTCGCCTCCCTCTTCCCTAGTCTCCACGCATCTGTCTCTAATTCTGTTCCTCATTTCCCTCTTTTCTCCGGCGACGGCCAATCATCGGAAACGGCCGGGAAATTTTCAACGAAGAGAGATTCGCAAAACTGTTACAGTCATTGTGAAAGAAATGGGTGTGGATTACTACAATATACTGAAGGTGAATCACAACGCGACGGAGGATGATCTGAAGAAAGCTTACAAGCGCCTGGCGATGATCTGGCATCCCGATAAAAACCCATCGGCGAGGCGAGACGAAGCCGAGGCCAAATTCAAGCGGATCTCCGAGGCCTACGACGTTCTCTCCGATCCACAGAAGCGCCAGATCTACGACCTTTACGGCGAGGAAGGCCTCAAATCCGGCAAAATCCCCAATTCTTCTTCGTCGGAGGCTTCCTCTTCTTTCTCCTCGCGAGCGCCTCACTTCCACCACCAGCACAGGCAGCATCCGCCCAACGCCGCGTCGTTTCGATTCAACCCTAGAGACGCGGAGGATATCTACGCCGAGATTTTTGGATCTGAAGGCGGAGGCAATGCCGGAGGAGGCGGCGGCGGCGGCGGGAGAGGAAACCGGACGTTTAGGGATGGGAGTTTCAGGAACGGTCATTTTAACACCGGTGGTAATTACGGTGCGAATGGTCATAATACCAGTGAGCTGAGGAAAGCTCCTGCCGTGGAGAATCCATTGCCGTGTAGCTTGGAGGATCTCTGCAAAGGTGTGAAGAAGAAGATGCGGTTATCTAGAAACGTTTACGATGCTTCCGGGTATGTTTTCTTCTGATGATTGGTTTTAGCTGAAGGGAAGGTTATACTTTTATTATCTTCTGGTTTCTCTAGAAAGGTATTGTTCTGCATGGTCAAATTGAACTTGGTGGATAGAAAAATGGTGACTTTATTAGTTTATATCCAGGAGTTAAGCGGTTGATTCATGACAAAATGTAATGTGTAGCTTCTCAACACTCTTAAAATTGAACTCTTTGGATGTTTAAAAGGCAGAAACTTTTGTGATTGTAGTATAGGAAATACTAGCAAAGACCCCTGTTCGAAGATTAACGTGTTTTTCTTACGTTTATCTATGAAATGCTTTGTTTCTTTCAGTTACTTCGGTTTTGCAGTTTACGCTGCAGGAATATTCTATGCATAATGAGAATAGATGATAGCTTGCACGTATCTGTTTGCATTTTTGGCTCATCTTGCTTCATAAATTTGTTTCTTTCTCTATTGAACGAAGAAGTACTTGTCCTCAAGTAGAACAAGTGTTTTGTGGTGAGACATGTCCTTCCATTATTGTAAGAGAATAGTCGCCTATTGGGGAAAATTTGTTAGTGATAGTCGCGATATTACTCGCTTGTTGGTGAATAATGTCTGCATATAGAGAGAGATGGATTTGAGTTTGTTTTATCATCGATTGAACCATAAAGAAGATGATTATTTGCAGAATAAACCTATTCGAAAGCGTCTTATGTTTCAACACTGTTATGATTCGTGTTGTTTGATCTTTGCAGTAAAATGAGGGTCGTTGAGGAGATATTGCCAATAGAAATAAAACCCGGGTGGAAGAAAGGCACAAAGCTGACATTCCCTAAGAAAGGCAATGAAGAGCCTGGAATCATACCAGCAGATATTATCTTCGTGCTTGAAGAGAAGCCACATCCTGTTTACAAGAGAGACGGAAACGACCTTGTGGTGAATCAGGAGATTACTCTACTGGAAGCTCTAACCGGTAAAACTCTCGACCTGACCACGCTTGATGGAAGGACTCTGGTGATCCCACTAACTGATATCATCAACCCCGATCACGAGATTGTTGTTCCAAACGAAGGAATGCCAATCTCTAAAGAACCTGGGAAAAAGGGTAACTTGAGATTGAAGCTTAACGTGAAATATCCGTCGAAGCTGACATCGGAACAGAAATCGGAGCTGAAGAGAGTTCTTGGTGGGGTCTCTTGAAGAAGTCGGTGATGATGAATGTAGATAGCAAAAGTAGAGGAGATGATAGATTGTGAATGGTAGGATGGATTCTTCTAAGGGGGCTTGGATTTGAAAGCCGAAGATCAAACACGAGCTTTGCTTCTGTCTTTATTTGTCTTGTTTGGCATTTGACATTTTTCCCCTTTTTTTATTTATTTTATTCATTTGATTTGGTTTTGTTGCCTCTTATTATGTGGGTGTACTCCAAACATTGAGGTATGCTTTGTTACCTATTTAATAAACCTTTGTTTTACCAACTTGGGCAACTGAAATTTAAGCCAGAACAACACAAGAATAAGGAAGTGAAGAGCAATCTTTATTCAATAGGATTTGTGAAAAAGAGTAGTTAAAACACAATGTACACTTTCTGTGACCAATATATTGGTGCTTCACTCTTTTCTTCCTCTCTTCTTACCAGTACTTATAGATGCAAATAAAAGATGCATAGGATCCCAAAAAGGTACTTTAAAGGAGGAAATAACCTATTGATGAAAATGTTTCAAGCAGTGCTCGAGACCGGAAAGAGCTTTTCCACCATGTTGTTGGAAAGGATTCTATTTGGGTCCAGCTCCTTGCGTGCTTTGTTGTATGCATCCACCGGGAAACGTTTTCTGAGTCTTGCTTGTAAGGCTTCAAGTTCCTCTTTATCCTTTGGTATCTGATTAAATAAAGATTTAAACACTAAATATTAGAAGTTGTCCAAATGAAGACAATTAATTGTATTTCAAGCAGAAATAGGTATTCAGGTTCCGATGAAACAATATAACTCTAAAGAGGTGAGTGAACCAGAAGGACATAGTTAAGTCGAAAATGAAGGCATCTGTTCGTTGGAGTTAATAATCTCAAATTTAGATTGGAAAATCTACAATTACCTCAATTTTTGCCCAATGTTCATATGCAGAATATTGATCCCACAATCGTGCCTGCGTCAAATGTCTATAGTGGAAAAATTCATCTGTGATGTCCTTCCTCTGGCGAGGGTCTGCTGTCGGGAGATACATGATTATACCAACCTGATAAAATATAATGCACCATATTAGAAGTGTAGATGAAAAGCGAGAACAGAAAAGAACAGCAAACAGTCAATGCTGAACAAGATTGGCCAATAGCAATAATCTATCACGTGAAACAACAATAGCAAATTATTTAGCATCATTTCTACTGGCTACTTCTTTATCCATATACATATTAGCATCAATATTTCAAATGTTTTCTCCACAACAAAAGGCAAAAAACAGGAAACGAGCTACATAAAGACTGACACCAATATCTCTTTATACTTCCTTTCATGAAAAAAAAAAAAAAAAACAGAGAGCAAACAAGAGTTACCCATGAGAAAATGTCATCCTCTGCAGTGCTGAATGCAGGACTAATGGGGCTCTTACTTCGAGCAGTCCAGCGCTGCTCTATTGGAGCAGGTGCTGGTATTGCTTCCTTTTCTATCAGTTCTTTCAGCTGTTCTATGTATTCAAGGTCTTTCATGCTGGGTTTGGCGAGGGTTCCAGCGGGAAAACAAGTTTCTGATACCCACTGTTGACCACCACAGTCAAAGCCCAGAATTTCATCACTCCACCCAACTCTATATCCTTCTGATTTCTTCCAAAACTCTGCCTCAGCTTGATTTACTTTTCCAACATGAACATCATTGAGAGGATCGAGTGCAAGTAGCTTATCTCTCAACTCTGTAAATGAAAGCTCGTTTATGTCTGGCTCCCTGCTCTCAGGAGACTTCTTATTAGACTCCAGGACCCTAAATATCACGGGGAATTTTTTTTTTTAGTTTGATGATTTCATTCAGTACTCCACCTTAGAGAAAGCAAGTTAGAGGCAAGAATTTAAGCATAACAATACCTATATTTCACAATGCTCTCTCTATAGAGGTCACGAACATGTTGTAAAGCCTCATCTGTAGTGTACTTTGGTTTGGACTTAGGTGGCCCACTCCATTTTGATACAGGGTTGCATGTTACAACCACGACAGTGTCGGTATAAGGAATATAGAGGTACTTCACATGCTTGTTTGAAGAGAGCAATTTTCTGGACAGCCAGAAAAAAACAAAAACAAAAGTTGGGAAAACTTCCACCGTGAGCCAAATTATGAGATCAATTTGCTTCATAGTAGAGGGTGAGCTTTCCCAAAGGCTCCAAGTGAATGGGGTAATAACTAGAAAACGAACAAAACCTAAAGTACTTGCACCAACCTGATGCTTTTCTAGTAATCTGATCAGGAGGAAATTGTATATGCTGGGCATAATTTTTCATGGGTGACGATATGATATTGAAAGTAAGACAAAGAAAGTTAATCAACACTTTACTTGTGATTTTTCTTGATTTCTTCCAAATTTGAGACGTATGTGTGCTCCACAAGTTCCTGTCTTTCAACACACTGGAGGGTGACCTCAGCAACAACTCCAAGTCCACCAAGGCCACATCGAGCTAAATGAAAGAGCTCCGGATCTTTGTCCTTTGAAAGTTCAATTGTTCCCTCTGCAGGAGTCACCAGCTTCATACTGATCACCTGCTCATCAATGGGAGGCAATCTAGCACCTGTCCCATGTGCCCCAACCTGAACATAAACAAAGTCTTAGAGCCTAAACCTCAAAGCACAAGATGGAGACGAACAACTGAAATGGCAGAAGATGTTTCAGACTTTCAATTAGTGTCACACAAGGGAGAGAAGAGTATGCAAACCTGAATAATACCACCAATCTGCTGCTCTCTAATGGAGGCAAAGTTCTGGAGAGTGAGACCATAGTCTTTAATGGCGTCCACCAATTGCTGGACCCTAATCCCAGCCTGCACCCGAACTCTCTTCTTCTCTTTATCCACCTCGAGAACTTTGTCCATGAGCGCCAAATTCACCATCCCTGAGCGAGACAAACCGATCCCATTCGGCGAGAGACCCGATCCAACGGGTCGAATCCTGGACTTTTTCTCATGAGATTCCTTGACGATAGCTTCGAGTTCAGCGAGATTCTCCGGCTGGTTGAAATTCCTAGTCTGTACCTCATGAGTACCGCTCCAGTTGGAAACAGTGTGAAGATCTTCTGGCAACGGAGCGTAGCGGAAGATTTGAGCCTTCTTGTGCTTGGCATTTTCAGGGAACGGGAACGAGAAATAGGTAGCGACACCACTGAATATAGCGAGTGCTGCGTATCCGGCGTACTTACGGAACTCCTTTTCTGAGGCGGAGGACGAAATCGGAGGCGGCGGAGGAGGAGGCGGTGGCGGTGGTGGAGTCAACGTTTGACCGGTGGTGCAGAGAGTACGGAGAGGCGAAAATGGTGGACGGATGGTGGATGTGGAAGGAGTTAGAGTTCGAGCCGAACGGTCGACGGAGCGTCGGAGAAGAAGTGACCGGAGCATTTTGTTTTAGTTCAGGCGATCTGAACCTGAGGGAAAGGTTTCTTGTTGTTCAACACATGGATCGGGTTTAGTGATTTAAGAAAATTTACACAATAAGCCCCGAAAGTACTTTTATTTTCATAATCTGAGCCGTCGTAATTTGCTTATGAACAAATTAGTCCCACTAGTAGTTGTATACTCTCATAAAACAACACAATACTTCTGAATTGGTATCAGATGGTCCAGAACTCCAGATTCGTATTTGTGTACCGGTTTGTTTCTTTTTGTCCCACATGGGAATACGACACTGTCGTATTTTTGGCAGTTTTTTTAATCAATGTTAATCTTGCATTATTTTGACAGTTTTTTTTTTATAACTCATTATATTTTGACAGTTTGAGATATATTTTTTTCCTTTTAGAGAGTAAAATTATATTTAATAACATATTGATCAAAAATTCATCTTATATGTTCCATCCAAATTAGCAGACCTGAAACTTGAGCAGATACACATCCATCACAATCTTCTAGCCCTTTACTAGAGTTAAACTTGGATTTAGAACTAAAGAGTTTTGCTTAATTTTATTTTTTCATTTTTGGGTTACTAATCTAGTCAATGCAATTTGAGATAAATTATATTAATAATGACTTTGTAACCAGTTTTTCCATGGATTTACTTTGGATTTTAAAAATGTTTTATCTTTCAATTCATAATGATTTTCAAGATATCTCTCTCAATCCAAACATAGCCCTCCTCTCCCCATTTAGGACCAGAATTATTGGCTATCCAAGATTTTTTCTAGTTGGACTCCGACCTGTACCCGACCACAGTAATAGTGTGGTTCAATGTGGTTCTATAATTTACCGTAATCATGCCCTACAATATGTTATATTGATCTATAATTGAAAAAATAGAGTATCAAAAATATTATATATTGATCGATGTTTTTCCAGTTACCTTAGAATAGAATATGAAATCAGAATGACTACCATCAATTCTAATTGTTACATACGGGTTGGCTTGCAACGGTTTTGAGAAAAACTGACTAGTTGTTCAGAGGTACATATCTATTAATTAATAGTTGTCTTTACCCTTTTATGTATGAAAGATGACAATTTACTTGAATACCCTTTGTATGGGTAGTTTGTATCAGTGTTAATGCCAACATTCTTCTTGATAAAATCGAATGTGAGCCTCATGTAACCTCCTACACAACCGTTATTCTTGACATTGGAGTCAATTAGCTCATGTGCAGACATTGGAACCGACTTATTCATTTTAATATAGTTAATTTTTATGGAGCCAAATGAGACAAAGTGTTGCCAATTGAGAACTAACTACATTCGAATAGGTTCGTTAAGTGATAAGTCATTCAGTCAAATCAATCATTTGATATAATGACTTGTGGATGCAAAACTAATATGTATTATGAGATGAAGAACTATTATATTTTGTTGCATAGCCGCAAATTATACTAGGACATTTTACAAAGCTTATGTATCAGAAATTATTCTAAAAAAATAAAAAAAAAGTTTAAACATACATTATTTAAGCAAAACATAAGTAAAATATAAGCAAAATTTTGAAAGAATATAAAAATAAAAAAACTAAAAATATAATTTAAATGTCGTACCCTGTGTTAGAGTGACTGGACAAAATGGCAAAGCCACTTCAGTATGGACTATAGAGTCATCGACGTTATAGTTTTCTGTATAAAACAAATTTTTTGTAAACTCTTGGATTGAGATTTTGTTCATTCTCGACTTATCGTTATAATAAGATAAAATACTAGATGCACAGGAAAAGTTATTTATTTTTTCCTCATAAATTATAATAAAATAATTTAAATGAATTCGTTTGTTAAAATGACATGCAATCATGCATAATGACGAAAATATCTCAGTATATACATATGTTATTAGTCTACTAGACTTTTTATATAAAAATACATATTAAAAGTTTAGAGGGGCGAGTCACATCGTCGCCTTCATCGGGATGAACCTGACCGGCAGTATCTTTCCCAGGTTTGCGGATCTCACATCTCTATCTGTGATTGATCTTTCGCATAACCTTCTTAGTGGCACCATTCCTTTTGAGCTCACCAAGATGAACCTGACAAGCCTTGATCTTTCATACAATGATCTTCATGGGAAAGTGCCACAGTTCAGGACAATATATAGTTCCAAACATTGAAGGGAATCCAGAGCTTCAGACGAACATCGTTCAGGTTACTTCACACAGGTAACACGAAAAGTGGAGTCGTTTTGATACTTTTTAGTGCGATTGTGATTCTTTGTATGCTGGTTGTTGGAGGAAGATGCATTGCTTTGTAGTTGTTTATGAAAAAGAAGCGATCTGAGAGACAATAAGAACCGAATGAAGCTTTGCCACATACTCAGCAGTCTTTTGAGCATATCGAGATTGTGGAAGCTGAGAACACAGCCATTCAATTCCAGATTTTGAGGGATGCTACAGAGGACTTTCGCGATAGCAATATTGTTGGGAGAGGTGGGTTTGGAGTAGTGTATAAGGGTAAGCTGTGTGATGGAATTGAAGTTGCAGTTAAGAACTCTTTAGAAAATATGTATGCATAGAAAAACATAACTATGAGTTTTTTTATGTAATAAAGAAAATAAGATATAAATTAAATAATATATAACATTATATTCATACTCTTAGATATTGTCTTAGGTATGTGTGTATATATATATATATATAAGCATAAGTTTATATAATTACGAGTCCAATATGTACCAGCAAGGCAGCAAAGACAAAAACAAAGGCCTTTTTATAAATGGAATACTGTAGTCCAGTGTTATAATCAGACCTTATATGAACCTTTGCTCTTCGAATCTTCTTTTGCGGTTCTAATACTGTCAGCAAAGAATGAATTGAAGGGACAAAAAAGTAGTCACCAATGGTACACAATGCAAAAGCCACTCAAGTCTTTGATTTTGTGACAAACATACTAAACAATTACTTCCTCTGTTCAGAATTATTTGATGTTTTAGAAGGTTTTTTTTGTTCAGAATTATTTGATGTTCTCACTTTTCAAAGCAAAATTTAATGAATTTTTATAGTTTTTGACATTTTATATTCTGCAGATTGTCTTCTTATTGGCTGAATGATATTTAAATGGATTATAAATAATATTTTTAGTATAGGAAAAATAAAAATTAAATAAATCCTTAAACTGTGTGTAAAAACCCTAAACATCAAATAATTCTGAACAGAGGGAGTAATTGACAATAACAAAATCATAAAAAAAAAGAAGAAGAACAAACATGACATTCTTTATTATTTTATTCTTTTTGAACCTTATTCATTATTATATGAGAAATAGAAAGATGACATTGGGATTTGGGAGCATTCGTCCGTTCAAGCTACCTTATTAGAGAAAACTAAACAAAACATTAAACCGGATTACGGTAAATTAACTGCGAAGTGTCGTTTCTTGGTCAAATGTTTTCACGTTTAACCACTGTGTCAGGCCGTGCAATGGGACTCACGTAGATACCAATCGATGACAGATAGTGATTGTATTTGTTGTAAGACCCAAAGAAACCACCAAACTCACGTCTATCACATATTGCCGGATCAATTTCTACCTTAGAACCACTCCCATACTTATTGTCTGATCTTCCAATTGGTCCATGCATCCCACAGTTAGTGTGAAACGTCAAATTTTTGATCCCTCTATTCCATCCTAGTACAGCACTCAATCCGGTCACATATTCATCTTGTTTCAGTCTCACCTGACATAGATTCATTAGACTACTCACTTCACAGGAACCTAGCAAAAAAAGAAAAACAGAAAAAGGTTGATTACCGAATATAAAACTTACAATTCGAAAATTGTGTCCCTCAGAGACACCATACTTTGCAGACAGTACTAGAGCTCCATTCTCCAAGTAGCCAAACTGAACGGATGATATGAGTTCGTCGTCGAAAGAAACATATATTTGAGAGATCATGGTGCGTCCCTTCTCGTCCCATCCAACTTCGCCATTGGAACTACCATTTCCTCCCACTGGTCCTGCTCGTATCATCTTTATATCAGAAGCAGTTAAAGAATTCAGTAGGTATAGAGAGATAGAGAAACAAAGAGAAAAGGACGATATATAAAATACTCTGTCTAAGTGCAATACCCGAAGAGTCATCATGACTTTTATTTATGAAGTTCTTTGGGAGCAAACAAATTAGACAAGTCCAAGTACGTTGAAGAAAATCTTGAAAATTGGTGCATAAGAGACTCTTCGTTTTGATCAAGATCGGTTTTACATATTTTCTAAGCAGTCCAATAGAATATAAAATATTTTAGCCAAAAACAATCTCTCTAGATAAATAAAAGTCTCTAGATAAAGTATAAAAGATTTCATAAGATTTAATAGTTTACATTTTACAAATTGTAGTCTCTATTTTTTTTTTACTTTACTTTTTCGATTTGAATAGTTCTAATTTTAAAGCAAAATATAATTTTCTTGGTGTCATTTGTTTATTTCAAAATGAAGAACTACAATTATATACTGTACTTATATTATTTATTGACAATTAAATCTCACAATATAAAATACCAGAAACATATGTCATTTTCTTTTTCTTCACGTTTAGCGTGCTCAATAATAATAACTAGGTGTTTAGCCCGCGCAACCGAAAAGTTTCAAAAACGTAAAAAAACTTTTAAAAGTTGTAAACCCAAAAGAATTATAACAATCCATTTAAGACATACAAGATCAAAAACATAACTAATCCCAAAAAGTAAACATCATCCAAAAATAAACACCCAAAAAATAATAGTAAATAAGTGTATAAAACCTATTAAGATAAATATGACTTCTTCGTTTTCTTTCTTTCCCCATTTTATACCGTTTGATTTCTTCTTTGTCGTCTTTGGATTTTTTTTGTGTCTCTCCTCATTTTTATCTTCTTCTACTTTATCTTCATTGTCTTTCATGCATTTTCCTTCTTGTGCTTCATTCCCACCATCACTCACTCTCTCTATCCAGATCTATATGTCTTTAAAGGCTTTTACTTCTCTCTTTACGTCTCTCTCTCTTCCTCCCTCTCACACAAACTTTTAAAAACAATTTCCTCAAAAGTTATGTCGTTAAACACAAGACCCACTGTGGAGTTAGGTAATCTTTCCTATCACGTGTAGTCGTGTACATGTAATTCTACTAAACATAACCTAAAATACCAAAAACAGATTCATGTTACCACATCCAAACCATCTCTGTTGTCTATGAAATTCACTCGACCAAAGTAATATGTCGCGACCGAATCCAATCAGGCTGCCAACGTCTAAGGTTGCTATTTGTGGCTGATGATTTGTGGCAAAATTTGCTAGGTTTTCTTTCTTCTTCGGTTTCTTATACTTTATTTTCTTTTTAATGTTTTGGAGATATTTTTTGTAATTCCAAACATATTAATACAAAAGGATGAACCTTCCCTATAGTTTAGCTTGGATTTCATTTTAATTTAGGGGGAAAACAACGTATTTCCCCCTAAAAAGTATGATATAGTAACAGATCCACCGTATATTCCCTTCCGTTAAAGTTTGTAAACTAATTTCTCCATAATTTGATTTTTCGAAACTTATTTCACCATAACCGTTAAATTGAATGGTTTATGATGTTAACCTGATGTAAAACCAATTTATTCAATACCAAACCAATTTTAAAACCCGACCAGACCCGATTAAACATCAGATCCACTTCAAAACAAAAATCTCCAAATTTGTTCGACACGAACCCTCGATCCCCATCTCCACTTTAGATTTCTCGCCCTCAGATCTATATCCTCGGCAAAGAAGAAAGATCAGCACCGACAAAAACGACGGCCAAGATCTCCACCGAAATCAATAGATGTTGAAGAAACCCCAGAGGATCTCATGCTCAGATTTGCGGCGTTGAAGAGTTCTCTTCCTTCGTCATCGTCCTTTGTTTCGCCGTCAGTTCATCTTCTGGATGAAACTGGGGAAGATGCTGAAGTGGAGAAACTGATCCAGTGGGCTATAGATGCTGCATGTCTCGATCCTTCTCCTCTCTCTGATGAAGACGATGATGATGATGATAATCATAGTTCTGATAACGATGATGACTTCGATGATGATGACTATAATTCAACGAGAAATGTCAAAGCCTAATTAAAGATAACAACTTGACTCTTCCTTGTAAAGTATATAGATTCCTTTAGCTATAATTGAATCCACTAGCTTCCTTGTAAACTTGACAGTCGCAAGATTTTTAAATTCAACACAATATCTGGATTTTGCATTGCAATCAAATTATTAAATCTTTCAATGTGGTCAAGTTTGAGAATCTGACCCTCTAGAAGGTGAAATCAAGTTTTAGTTTCTGGGAAATATGGAATTGCTGGGTTCGTTGATATGAACTATAGACGTGTGTCTTAAAGTTTTTGGTAAAAAAAATGAGATGAAAATTTTTCACATAAAAAGCTGAAATTGGGATTTTGGGGATTTTTAGCGGGTTAAATCCTAAATCGGGTCAAATTATGGTTTATTTGTTACAACCAAATCATAAACAGGTTTAAGTGTTTTATATGGTGGTTAACTTTTTTTTCTGGAAAATAGTAAACCATCATAAATCACAGTTTGGGGAAATTTTAGATTCAAACTTTATTATCGGGGTGAAATAAGTTTTGAAATATCAAATTAGGGAGAAATTAGTTTACAAACTTTAACGGAGGAAGATATACGACGAGGTTAAAATTCTGGGTAGATCTGTTACTATATCATACTTCTTAGGGGGAAATAAGTCGTTTTCCCTAATTTAGGTATTTTAATAGAAAAAGATGAACCTATATATTAATAGAAAAAGTGCACACAACACTCTTCTTCCTTCTTCTTCCTTCTTCTTCCTTCTTCTTCCTTCTGTTGCATATATCATCATGCAAACTAAAAACTTTTTATAGAAGACTTATACAATATATCGATCATATAATAGATTAGCCAAAGAATTAGAACTGGATATGTGTTTTTAATCGTTGCACATTGTTATAATATCGACTACAAAAATTTCTAGCAACCAGGAAGGAAAGTGGAAGCTTTGGCTATTTTCATTTGCCTTGGGAACCAATTCTCCTTGGTATGATACACTGATCACCGCTGTGTAATTGGTCTGAGAAAAGATTCACTGATTACCTCTGTGTTCTTCATTCTTCTTCCCTCCCGTGGAGCTTAAGGCCACGACTCTGTGGCTATAAAACTTCCACTTTTACTTATTTTTTGACCATCTATCTCTTTCCCTCTCTAGTGTCTCCCAGTTTTTCTTTGCATTTTCCCAGTTGAGAATCCTTCATGAAAACTAATGGTTTTGTCGGTCATCAATATATGAGACATATAATTTAATATATCGCTTTTGCTATCTCTCTTGTTTGTCAAAAGACGCCCACCAAGTGAGAAAGAAAAATATATTCTCTTAATTTGAATGTTGAACAGTTGAAAGTTTTCTTTTTGTTCAACCAATTTTGTTAACTTCTCTATTTGAATTTTTTTAACTCTTTTTCTCTGATGAGTTGTTGATCAACTTTGGAAACCGAAGCTAATTTCTGATTCAACCAAAGCTTTTCCCTTTATTCCCCTTGATTTGATTGTATGATTACAGAAGCTTGGTTTCTCGACAAAACCTAGAAAAATTGTCAGATCAACTATGTGGCTAAAGATAAAACCCAGAAGATACGCTAGCTTATTCTCTGTTAGAATCTTATAAGTTTGCAAAATGATTTAGAGATCATTTGCGTAATTTAACATATTGACGTCTTGTCTCTCATCTTGGCTAAAGAAATCCCAAATCACTTCTTTTTCTTCTCCTTTCACAGTTTTCTCGGCAGTCAAACTGGTCAAAGACAACCTTTTAAAAAAAACCTTGAATTTTGGCATCGAAAGAAAGTTTGTCTGAAAATTAATTACTTCTGCTGCAACTTGCAACACTTGTATGGCTTTGTTTAAAAGAGAATAATACCAGATGAAATCTAGATACAATCGTTGTTGCCTTTCAGGGAAATTTGGTATTCGGAAAAATCACAGATACTACTCTGCAGTCTCTTTAAGGGAAAGATATTTGTTTTTTAAATCCTAAACCATTGTTTTTGGTTTTTTTTTAATATACAGTATGATAATGGTTTGTTAACTTAATTTAAACCATTATTTTCGTTTTTTTAAATATATATTTTATAAAAATTAATTTAAACCATTATTTTCGTTTTTTAATATATATTTTATAAAAATAATATAAGGAGGGATAAAATGTAATTAACCATCCTGAGATTAAATGAGAGAGCTTTAAATGAAATTTGTACTTTGCTTATAATATATGTTAAGATTTTCAATTTGGGTTCAAGTTAGATAACCAAAAACCATATACAAAGAAATCCAATCGAATATTCTGAACCATCCAAAACCGAACATCCCAATTCGGTTTCTTCGGTTCCAGGTAATTTGTGCAGGCGTATGGTGAATAGTAACAACTAACAAAGCCGAAGTGTGCAATCGCAATGCACCACCTTATGTCACCATTCATAAACCGAACCGGTCTGTAATGGCAACGTGTAAATCCCTTTTTACCTTTTCGGTTTAATGATTTTGTCCTCCGGCTTCGCACTCCACAGAGAGAGAGAGAAAGAGAGAGCACAACAACGACTCTTCTTCTACTCTCCATCTCCTTTCCCTCACCAACCCTCTCCGTCGATCCTCCGCCGTGCTACGGTGCCGGATTCTCCGACACGACGCCGTATGTTGACTCCAATTTAATTTCCGATTTGACCATCTTTGAGCATTTGGTGAGGCGTATATATATAGTATATACACACACACGCGTATACATATCCCTGTGTACCCTCCATGCCGATTGATTTAGTTTTGAGCTGAATCGTGGATGGGTCAAAAGAAGAAAACCCCCGCGACTCGCTCCAAACAGTCGCCGTCTTCTGCGCCGGCGCCGGCAGAGATTGAGCCGTCTGAGGTTTCCGGTAGCTTAAATGAGGACGGATTTCCCGAACCGGCTGCTATTGCCGAGCCGGTCGTCTCAGCCGTGGTCAAGCTGGAGTGCGAGAAGGCACTGTTGTCATTTCAGCGTGGGAGCTACAACAAGGCGATTCGGCTTATGAAGGAATCATGCTCTCGCCACCAAGACTCTGCCCTAATCCACCGT